CCCCGGCGGACCCCCTGCGGGGGAGCCGCAGCTCCAGGAGAAGCTGAAGCAGCTGCAGCTGGGCAGGGGTCCGGCCCCCAAAGCTGGCACGGCGCCCTCAGACCCCTCCTGCCTGCTGACACCACCCACCACCCCCCTGAATTTCGACTCTGGGAGCCTGGAGTCCCCGCAGGGCACCGGCAAGGGGCTGCAGGACCCCCGGAGGAACGGGATGAACGGCACCAAAGGCAGCTCTCCTGAAGGTATCAAAAGCTGGCGCTGCCCTGCTTTGGGGGTGCAGGATTGGGGCATGAAGGTGGTTGCTGCCATTCTCCTGTGCAGCCCTCCCCGTACACACGGTTCCTGTGGGGACTTGTCAGTGCTTGGACAAGGCAGGTGAGAGCAAATGAAGCATCTCATCCAGCTCCTGCCCTGGCAGAAAACCAGCCAGGGGCTACCCGAAGTCAGCTTTGATGGGGTTTTGGGGGGCAGCTTTCTGTGGGAGGTTGTGAGGCTGGGTTTGGGCGATGCCAGAGTGGTAAGCTGGTCTCTCTGTTGCCAGGATGCTCGCCGACCCCCTATGACTACCCCACGCCAGAGTCTTCCAGCCGCAGCTCTGCCACCGATGACTTCTGCTACGTCTTTGTGGTGGAGCTGGAGAGAGGACCCATCGGGCTGGGGATGGGGCTGATCGACGGCTTGGTGAGTTCTCACCGATCGCAGGACAGGGCTGATGCTCCTCCAAATAGCTGCAGTGGGACATGTGGGACATGTTTTATACCCCAAGAAGAGCCAGCAAAGAAGCTAATGGCTTCCCACGGGAGCTAGGCTGCATCTCCTGGGGAAAATGAGGCGGAGTGATCTCTCGGGAGGAGCAGATCTCTGCTCCTGGGTCTCTGTGCCTTGCACGCAAAGTTTATCACAGCTGTCCTGCAGCTGGAGAGAGCAAACAGGCTTGGCGCTCTTGTGGAAGGAAAATGACTCAGCCGAGGTCTCTCCTCCACACTTCAGCGGGTGGCAAGGGAAGCGGAGGGGAGCAGGGAGGCTCACGGGGTGTCAGAACAGCTCTGCCAGCGATGGCACTCATTGCATAAGGCAGCATTGCAATCTGGCTTAGTATGGTGGATCATCTTACTAAGTGGCCTTTCACAGCCGTGCATTAGTCAGTAGGAAACAGGGCATCACTGAGCCCCGGGGACAGCCGTGAGCAAAGAGCTCCCATCCCAAGACAGCTGCAGGTTAACGATGCTTTACTCTTAATTAAACTGAACAAGAAAAGATTGCCCCTACCTCTCCTTTCTGTGTATAAACTGATACAAAACTGAAGGCTGACGTTTCCTTCCTGTTACTGTTAGCGACACTGTCCCCAGCACCCATCCATCACATTCCCCAGCACCTCCAGGGTCCCGCCTGGCATCAAGCACCTGCTTGGCTGTGCGCTGTCACCCTGCCTGAGGAGCTCAGCCCTTTGGGACCACAAACCTTTTGTGTCCCCTCCGCCCTGGCTGGTTGCTCACCACCTTTCCCTGCCAACAGCACACTCCTCTCTGCTCCCCGGGGATCTACATCCGCACCCTGATTGAGGACAGCCCTGCGGCCGATGACGGCAGGCTCTCCATCGGGGACCGCATCCTGGCTGTCAATGGCACCAGTCTCATTGGGGCAGACTACCAAAGGTGAGTCACCCCTTGCTGGAGGGCCCGGTCCGGTATCGGCACTGTGGGGGTTAATGCTCAAGTCTAGGTTTTCAGCTGTTTTGCAGCAAAGAGCTGCGCAGGGTCTCCGAGCGCCTGGCGCTACGGTCCCGTCCAACAACGCAGAGGATGCTGCGGTATGGGCAAGCCGCAGAGAGAAGGCAACTTGTGCAGGACACTGGAAAGGGGGGAAGGCAGCTAGGTGGAAGGGTTTGGAAGAGGGATCAGGGAGCAAAAGCTGGAGAGCACATTTGGGAAATAAATGAGAGCCCCAGAGGTGGGTCTCAGCAATGCAGAGCTCCTCCAGCCCATCCCACCCCAGGCTTCCTTGCAAAGTGGGATGGAGCAGCTTGCACCCTGCCTGGCTGTCCGAGGCAGAGCCCAGGTGCCCACAGGGCAGAGCAGCTCAGGGCTCGTTTGCCCTCGTCCTGGCAGCACTCGCATGGAGGCCAGGCTCCCTGTAAAGCTACAGGCAGAAGAGAAACAGACCCTGCTTGTAACACTGAGCAGGCACAAAGCAGAGAGTGGGGGGGTGTTCTAGCAAACAGGGGGGTGTTTTGCAAATGTCCATGAACTGGCAGGCTCCTGGGGGGCTGCCAGCCTGCGGGGAACAAGAATTCACCTCTCTCCCTGTTGCTGCTCTCTGCAGTGCGGTAGACCTCATCCGCTCCGGAGGGAAGAAGCTGCGGTTTCTGGTTGCCAAGTCAGACATGGAAATAGCCAAAAAAATCGGTTCCAGCTCCTCTTCCTCCTAGTTATTGTGGTACGAAGGTCCTTCTGCAGCAGCTTGCAAGTGCAGCTCTGGCTAAGGCTGCCCTCAGGGAGCCTGGAGTGCAAGAAGGAAGACCAGGACTCCATAGCCCTTGATTTGCTTTTCGACACCTTGCCCCTGCACTGCAGCAGATGAAAGGACATGCAAGGGTGGTGCATGCTTCTCCCACTGCACTGGCTGGGAGCATCGTTCCTGATCAATTGCCCAGCCTCATCTTACACCCTGTGTCGTCCTTCTCAGGAGCTTTCCTGTTCCTTCGTCCCCTCTGGCAGGGGACAGGAAGGGGATGCTCCCCCCACGGGGACTGTAGGCAGGCTTCTCTGTTCCTCTAGGCTGACAGCTCTGCGTGATCTCTCACGCTGGCAGGCAGAAGGCTTGAAACACCTTTGGGATTTAAAGATTAGCATGTGGGGCAGGCCTGGGCTTCGCTGTAGCAGTGGCCATCTGAGGTGCTGGCACATCAGGCTGGAAAAGGGTGCCCAGCTCTGGGGGTGGTAAAGGCAGCACAAGCAGGAGCAGGATTCCATGCAGGGTGCATTGCTAAGAGTTAAGTTCGTTCCCTGGTGCCATACCCTAAGTCAGGTGCCTTTCTGCTGCTGGGCTACAATCACACTGCCCCCAGCCCTGCTTCGGGATTGGAAGCAGCTGCAGCAAAGGGCTGACACCACCAGCAGTTCCCTGTGAGTCCTGGGGGGAGCCCCTTGAAGAAAAGGACTCTCTCGCCCTTGCTCATGCAGCAGATTTATTGCCTGGCTCTGGCACCATGATCCTGGCAGAAGGCCCCCAGCCTGACCCAGCAGCGCGGGGCACTCACAGCAGAGAATTTCCCCACGCGGGAGCTGTTGCCCTTTCCAAGGGGCTACGGCCAGGTTAGTGCTTCTGTGCCTGCCCCTGGTCCCTGCGAGCTGGGAACGGTGGGTTTGTGCTACCAGGAACCTGGGCGAGCCCGGCAGTGTGCGGTCCCAGACCCCAGGTGTGGCTGACACTAGCCCAGGCAGACAAACGACATCTTGGCACCGCGTCCTAGTCCTCTCCCTCCAGCTTTGCCAGGCCATTGTAAGGCCACCCTGTTTCCTGCCCAGCTCAGAGCATCTCAGAAGTGCGTGCTGCTGACGTGCCGACGCGTGATGATGGGCAGCAAAGGCTCCCTTTGGAAGGTCAGTCTTGAACGTCCCAGAAACAGCTCTGCTATCTGCTGCTAACAACGGTGTCAGCAGAGCAGAGCTGGCAGCTCCACCGTGCGGCTGGCCGGTCCCCTGCACACCCGGCCTCCTGCCTGCCAAGTCCTCTCTGTGCTTTTAGCAACATTAACGGGATAAACCCGACCCGATTTCCACATATAGACAGATACCGAGACCTAGTTTAGCCGAACCCTATTAAAACAGCCTGCTGCAAAGCCCTACATCACACCCTGCACTTAAACCAGCATGGTCTAGGCTCTGGCAGCAAATTGGATATTCACACGGCATCTCACAACAAGAGTTTCTCCAACCATTGTGATGCTAAAAAAGGGATGCTTAACAGGGTTGGCCTTAATTAAACCTCAGATACTTCACTGCTGTAGTTTTGGTTTCTGTGCTTAATCTTGCACTTTGCAGGAGAGAGATGTCAGAATAATCCACGCAGGGGAAACACTCCACTACTGGATTTCAGCGCAGCCTGGTTTGCCTTTTCTAGGGCAAGACAGACCTTCACCGAGACACTAGTGCCTTTGCTTCTCTGCTAGGCCATGCTCATGCCAACTGGCCTGGGGTGCCGCCCCAGCAGGGGCTGGGAGCAATGCATCCCTCCTGCCACTGACTCAGCTGTACCAGGCAAGTGAGCAAAGGCTCAGGGCCCCACAGGGCTCCTGGTGATTCACTTGACTTTGAATCAAGTAGGTATGTCGGCCCGTCATCCTCCACCGAGCTCAGCAGGTTTGTAGGGCAGGAAATGGGCTGCCTAGAGCCCCTGGGCAAACTGCATGCACTCCTTACTCCCCTCTGCCCGGGAGCCAGCGCTCAGGGGAGGCTTGGTTTGCACTAGACAGTACTGGGCTGCACCCTGGCAAGTTCCAGCGGTATCAACACAGCCCTCTGCTCCCCACCGAGCCTGACTCTCCAGGCACCCCTGGAGGTGGGAAACAGCCCCAGAGCTGTATGTTGCTCACAGTGCAGTCACGTATTGAAATGGACTGTAAATAAACGCAGCTATTTACTAGTGTGCATGAGGGCTTGCTTCTCCTGGGAGGAGCAGTGGGACATATTTACTTCCCCCATTTGTTAATACTGTACAGCTTGAATGTGTATAAACTTCTCATACAGATACAGAACACAGCATGGCGCCTGTTTGACACGGGGCTGATGTATGTTAAGAAATGCTCTTGGTGTCAACAATAAACTGGATCAATAAATCTCTCTAAGCTCCCGTCTGGTAGCTGTCTCTTGGATCTCCACGTGTTCACTCTGATGGTAAGACAGAAGAGCAGTGAGGGCTTGCAGCAGACTTAATGGAGTCACTTCTGCTTTCTCCACCTTGTACAGGCCTTTGCTTGGCTGATCTGCTGCAAGCCAAGGCAATAAGAGAAGCATGTGCATAGCCAGGGTGTAGCGAGGGCAAAGGAGGGGGAGAAACATTCAGAGGAGGGGAGGGAAGAAGTACTTCTCCAAAGGGGCATGGTATGCTGGCAAGGTTATTAACACATGCACTCACCCTGCTGCCACATTCACACAAATCCACTGGGATTTTCAATCCATACTGGCCAGGGAGAGATAAGACAAGCTTAGGAGACAGAAAAGCAACAGGCGCTAGGAGACAGAAATACAAACAGCCTCAGACCAGAAGAGCAGCCTCAGCTCTACTTATTCCCATTTTCTGTTTCATTCACAATCATTTGTTCCTCATTTCCAGTTCAGAGCAGGGCCTCAGGCTTGAGCGTCAGCAGTGTCCGACAGAGACACTGTCTCTGTACAGCAGAGTTACGACAGAGGCTGGAGCCACCCAGAAACCTCATGCCCTCACCCTGGCATGCAGCCAGGAGCCGGCTCTAGGAGATGGGTGACTATCCTCAGGGCAAAAGGGAGGGAGTCATTCACCTCTCTCTGAAACCGTGTACTGGCCACATCTACGGGCGGCGTGAACACAAACTGAGCCACGCTTGGCATTTTCAGTAGGTTCATGAGCTCAGTTGCCCGGATAAGGATCTCCTCGAGGTCCTCCTCACAGTAAACAGAGGTGACAGCAGGGCTCTGCACGAATGTCCTCATCTTGGACAGGAACATGGACACTCTGCAGGAGAGAAGGACACAGACATCAGCTGGCGGGACCTCTGCACTCAGCAAGGTCACTACTTAAGCCTGTGTACTCCACAAGACTCTGTTATAGGTGAACACCAGACACTACCCACCCCCTCCTCCTGATGCACAGAGCGTTTAGTCAGCAGATGAATCCCACTTCCCCAAACTGTGCTCCTCCACAGCTTGCTTCCTCTGTCCTGTTTCAGTTTCAGGTTCCATCAGTTGCCAAGCTTGATTATTTAACACTAGCACACATCTGTGTTTGGACCCATGAGATCTGCATGTTTCAGCCCTTTGCCCTTCCCCACCATCCCTCCTCACCTGGGGATCAAGTCCTGGCTGCGAGCTGCCAACTTGGTCAAGGTGGCCATAAGGACACTGATGGCGCGGGGTGCGTAGCTGGAGGTGCTAGCCAGTGGTCGGAGCTGGGTGATTTCAAATAGCATGGCCTCTAGAGTCTCAAAGAACCGGTTGATCTGCTCTACAGTGCAGCGCTTGTCATAGGACACAGACATGTACTCTCCAATAGCCCAGACCTGAAGCGAAGGCAGATGTGCTCAGGGCAAGCAGAAGAAAAAGGGATCGAATAATTTTTAGGAAATGGCAAATCAGATTAGCTAATGCTAGGACAGAGGAGAGGAGGAAAGGAAAGGTGACCAACAGATTGCACTGCAGTTGGAGCAACCTGTGGCAGAAGCAAGCAGACCCTGCTTACCACGTGAGTGAAGATGGCCTCCTTGTTCTGGATGTTGCTGACTGTTCCTGAGAACTCCAGAATCTCCTTGGACAGTTCCACGATGAGCGCAGGGTGCAGCTTGCAGAGCATCACCAGCTGCGAGCTCAGCACCCTGGGGGAGACAGATGGGCAGAGCTCAGACCACGGGCAAGGCGGTCATCGCCAAACCGAGGAGGTGCTGGCAGCACCCAGCCACTGGCACGGTGTCTGTACACTCAGGATGCCTCCAGCAGGGCTGACGGTGCAGTTCCCGTTTCGCACCCTCCAAAGATGTGACGCAGCAGGGACTGAGCCACAAGTGAAAAGGCTCCCGGGCTGCCCTGGGGTGCCAGGCTGCAGCCAGTGGAAGGGCTGGGAGCTTGGCTGGGCCTCTTGTCCCATCTCACCTGTACACGTCATCTTTAAATGCTGGGATCTCATAGAGCTGGTCACTCCTCTGCAGCAGCAGCACCACCAGCTGGTTTATCAGTGGCCCATCTGCAAACTGAGAAACAGCCCTTGTTTCAGCAATACCAGTGACTTCCAGCAGCCAAAAACCAAACTAACCAGCCAGATAAGACAGCTGGCACAGAAACAGCCTGATCCAGCAGGAGGGGAGCAGTGCACAAAGCAGGTATCAGGCGCTCATTCTGCTCTCACCCACCTCCTTTACAGCTGGCTGAGAGAACAGTGTGAAGCCTGACACTGCACCATGGAGCTTTTCTGCTTCTCCAGATGAAGTAGCCAGCTCAGTTCTGGTTCATGCCAGTATTAGACCATCCCACCCTCCCCTCATGCACCCTTCTGTTGAAGCTGCAGTGTCTTAACAATTTTGCTTCTATGACTGCTCTTCACATAACAAGAGATCCCCGCGGCACGACTGGGAGCCAAACTCCCCCAAAAGGGCCTACCTCTGCCACCACCCTGAAAAAGAGCTCCAGTAAGACAGGGACAGTCTCTGCACACTGCACGACCCTTGGGCTGCTGGCCAGG